CTCATGTGAGGGGTGAGGCTATATTTATAGTGTTTTGAGTGCAATTAATGCAGGAATATGAACCGTTTTGATCGAACGACCCGGAGAGCTTCCATTGATCAGATGACGTTTGATGGACATTTGAGTGCCTTAACAATGTCGGAATTGAGCAGTCTTGGGCTCGTTGGATTTGTCTTTTCGAGACGCTCGATTCGACTATAAACTTGCTAGATTCGACATTCGTTTGAACTTTCAAATGCCTCTGAAAATCCTGTAGTAGTGGTTTAATGACTTGATCCGAACCTGATTTGGGATTGGACTAACTTTCATATCATTAGGTCCGTCTCATCGAGCCAATCAGTTTGACTATAAGTTTGTTGAAATCGGAGCTCTGGATGACTCTTGTTTAAAGTTTGAATGTTTTTTGTTCAAAAGGCTGCCTCGAGATCCATGCATGCCTCAAGATTCGTGCTAAATGATGAACATTTGTTAATGACATATCACTAACAAAGCTCTTCCCCATTTTGAACCATCAAACTTATCCTAGAACTTGAAACACTTATTTATTTATTGCATATATATATATATATATAACTATATATATATATATAATTAATCTATAATCCTTTTTTTTTTTGACGGAGTGCTTTTACATCTTTTACTAATCTTTAGATTGGATTTGATAATCCTTTTAAGTACACGCATAATTAGTATTACTTTTGCACAAAACGAATATGGGAATGTCAAATGAGCAGAAGCTGAAGCGGAAGCAACAAAGAAGCGGAATCGGTGTTGAAAGGCAAGCCTTGGAGTGGAAAATGCAGGAAACGGAATTACTATTATTATTATTTTTTATTTTTTAATTAATGAGTATTTAATGCTTCGTCACTTTTTCATCCTATAAATAGGACTAAAGGAGAAGGGGTAGAATTGTCGTGGTGCATTGCGGCGGTGCATTGCGGCGTTGCATCGTGGCGGTGCGACGCAGTGGTGCAATAGGTCGCGAAGCGATGTAGAGGTGCATTGCGGCGTTACACCGTGGTGGTGCGACGCGGCGGCGCAATGTGTCGCGGTGTGATGTGGAGGTGCATCTGCACAGTGGCAGAGCGACGCAGTGACGCAATGCGTCGCGACACGCCGCCGCCGCCCGCCGCCGCGTCGCGACGCAATGTGGCGGCGTATTTTTTGGGGTGTCTTGCTGTGAAATATTGCGGCGAAGAGGAAAGTCGTCCCCGTCCTGCGTAGGAGGCAAGCAACGAGATCTTCTTTTTAGTTGCGGCGAAGAGGAAAGTTGTCCCCGTCCTACGTAGCAGGTAAGCAACGAGATCTTCTTTCTCGTTGCGGCGAAGAGGAAAGTCGTCTCTGTCCTGCATAGCAGGCAAGCAACGGGATATTCTTTCTCATTGAGGCAAAGAGGAAAGTCGTCCCCGAGGAAAGTTGCACTCGTTCTGTGTAGCAGGCAAGCAATGAGATCTTTTTTCTCGTTGCGGCGAAGCGTTGCGGCAGGTCGTTGCGGCGACACGACGCGTTGCGGGGAAGAATTGCAGCGACGCGACGCGTCACGGTGGGACGCGCCGGCGCGAGCT